AAGTTGTGTAGTTGCCATTCCCTCAGAAAGATAAGGTCCCCTTTTCCCTTTCCCTCCTAGTATTTCATAATGTCAACATGGGATGGGAAGCACCTTGTAGTCCCTTTCCCTGTCTTTTCTTTCCCTTTCCCTTGAGTTGCCAAACAAAACATTCAATCTTAGCTTCTCATGCATGCTTTTTTATATAGAGTTTTTTGTAAAACAATTTCCAGCACATTAGTATATATCCAGATGTACCAACCTAACCACACTTGCTTTCACGAAAAAAGCCTTCTGGTGGTGCATAAAAAAGAATTGCAATGTAGGCACCAATCTAGCATATAGGCAGATTCTCACACCAGTTGACACCGAAATGCTCACTACTCACCCTTTAGTTTTGTTCCTTCAAATTTAGAAAAAACCAACCACCTTTTAATAAATAATTAAAATGAAAAAAAATCATATATTTTTCTTGAACAAAGTTAATGAGAAGTGAACAGAGGTAGATGAAATGGTGAAAAGGGTATTAGTTTCTTACTGTAAAAACAGTAATTTTCTGAATTTGTGGTAAGAAGAGCCCATGATAATCACCTGCATTACTTGCAGTATATGTATATAATATATATATTGACGACCTACCTACCAGCCCTGCCAATACTCTGAGTGGGCCATTGAAAATCCAGTGCCATAATTGTTTTTCACTTTATTCACTGCTAAATTTTCTTTTCTTTTTAACCAGAGATCTCAGAAAAAGAGAGACAGGATAAATAAAAAGATTTTTTTGGCTAAATTTTTTGGCAGAGACGTCTGTGGGGATGGTGGATACTGGGCTCCTCTGAGAAGCTCGAATTTTGATGTACTTATATTTTAGTTTCTGAGTCACTGTTTTTCTATCATCTTACTAGATGATGACGACGATGAAAGATATGCATATTAATTCAACAACATGATATATATATATATATATGATTCACAAATCGCCGCAAATTCAGTTTCTTCGTCTTATCTTTTTATCTACAGTCATCATCTTGGGGTACGTAGTCTTTGGAGTTTATATAGCTTCTGCTACTTCTACTGTTAGTGTTGTGTCGTACGGTCATGCACTGCTCAGCACCGTATGCACATACAGATTATGTACGTATGCATGTACAGAGCCCTTCTTTTGTTTGATATATATCTTTGGGGCGACGATGCCTTTCAACTCAAGCAACATCAAACTTTCTCCGCATCAATCATGAATTTTGATTCTTTTTATTTTATTATCTCTTCAATCATGAATTGGATTTTGATTGAAAGAAAGTTCAACAACTCTAGTCTCTGACAAGAAGTTCTTTAAAGGAAGGGGATAGGGATTAAATAGCCTGCTATGTCACGAACAAGGTTCATACTATTACTGCATTATTCAATTTCAAACTACGCCGCCATTGAAATTCTTTGTTTTGTCTTCGGGTTATAATCTCAAAATAACCCATTCAAATCGATGAAGGAATGTTAAGTGAGATAGTTCTTGAGTTGTCAACACGTAAAATTGAGATGAGAATATATTGTTCTCGACTCAATTATCGAAAACAATACGAAGCTCAAATAGATGGTATCATTTTATTTATAATTTTTCAGTAATTAATCAACGATAACTTATGATGTGTAGAAGTATGTGTTTAATCGACAATTCCAAACATTTTTCGTTTTGAATTAAAGCATTATTGTCCATCATCTTCAATTCATCCTATCATTTTATCTGTTCAACAATTAATAGATTTGATTAACAACATAATTTCTACTTAAGATCTTATGAAACCAAAAACAATTCATATATAATTGCACGGTTTGGGCATTTGGAGCTGTGGGCAACTGGAGACTGTACTACGTCAGCGTGACGTGATCGGAATATTCCATTCTTTGTTACTTCCAATTCAAAGCCACACGTTGTCGGAGCGCGTGACCGTTGGCGCTTTGTCTCATTTGTATGGATGGATTGGGAACTTGGAACATGATGGGTTGGTATGGGGGCCCACGTGATGGGCCCAACGTTGTTTTACTGCCCAACCCACGTGACACCCAACTGTTTCTTTTCATTTTTCTTTGCTTTTATATATTTTATTATTATTCTGTGCTCTTCCACTTTTGTCTTTTTCTTTCACTAACTTTTCTGCCTCCATCTATCACTCTCTCGCGTTCCCAACTTTTTAATCTTTTATTTAACCTTGCAAATTACCTATTTAATTAGAATTGTGTTAGTATTACTCAATGCTACGTTGCCTTCTCTAATGTTGTGGCGACCAAGATGCTACATTTTTGTCCCCCATATGTTCGAGTTCGATACTCCTTTACGAGAGATAAAAGTTCATTTTGCTCTCGTTGGTGACATACAAAATGAGCATCGAACTTGAAGTTATGAAAATCATACTTGAAATATCACCCAATAAAATCAATAAAACTTCCAATAAACAAAATACTGGTGTGCATTTCTTAATTGTTAAAGATGAAAAAGATGAATTAGAAGTGCTGAGATAATATCTTTTTAAAAAGCATTAATGTTAATAACGTGTAAACGCAGACTGGTCAACAAAGCTGAGTAAGCATTTCGTACTCACACGTAATTAACCCTATCAATCCTCCGTAATTATGTACCACATGCATGAATTATGACACACGGAGGACTCAAAGAAATCACAATCTCAATATATATTATATGGAGATGGAAAAGATTGTGACACTTTGCAAAGTTAAAGTTTAAAAGAAAAACGTGGCATGAATGAAAGCCACAAATTGTTTATTGGAACTTGGACAGAGATGCAAAAGAGCATGGGTTTTGGATCGAAATGTTATTGGGATGAGATTGGCAATGATTAATATTTGTTTAGCCAATTGCAACACCAAAATATTTTAATTATTTGTGCTTCTATTAATCTCTCTAATTATACATTGCATTTCGTAGTGAAAACGTCTGATTAGAGACAAGATGATTTGAAGGGGGAAACATTATCTCCATCACTCACTGATGAAGAATATTGTGTCAGCATTCATAGGATTCTTGTCACCATCAATGTCATCGCTAGTGCTTTTTTAATATTTCATAAGGATGTCACAGCTAGTTGTAGCATGTACCTTCGCATAAAGTAAAAAAGATTACACACCCCACGCTAGATTTGATGTTCTTTCACGAGAATGTAGTAACAACTTTAGTTACTGTCTCACTGTGACCATTGTTAATTATTGTCATTACTAGTTTATACTTTTGTTTGATTACAAAAATTTTAAAAATTTATTGATTTTTTAAATACAATCGATAGTCAAAATAGACTATAATGGGGAGGAGAGATTTTTTACACACATACACACACTACTAAGTTGTCATCCGGAGATTCGAACATGAGACCACTGATCTACAAGTCAAAATCATTCTTGTAACACCTAAATTACATCATGTCACTCTAAAGAGTATTTGTCTTCTTACGCAACGAGAAAGTTTGATTCTCGCTTTCTTCAATTTTTATTTATCGTCAAATCTCATTTGTATTAAATGAAAGACACATATATATGAATTAATTAGTGGTGCCTTAAGACTTTATAAAATCTAATGCAAGAGAGGTAGACCACTTATTAAAGTATAATTAACTGCGCTGCCTGCCTCTACAAATGGGTTGCTATGGAAAAAAGTGAGATTCATAAGATGGGCAAAGTACTATATAATAACTCTTCCCACATATAATTTATTTTGGCAATTGTTAGATTAATACCATATGATTTGTGTCCGTTATTAAAAAAATAAATTTTAAAGCTTCAAACCTCAAAACTGTCTGGAATATGATATTAAGATGAATTGTTTAATGTGATCGAAGAAGAAGATGGGATCTTCATGCTTAGCTTAGCTGCAAGAAGATGAGATAATTTTTTTTTGTTCATATCTATATATATATATATATATATATATATATATATTCTTGGCCCTCATTGATTGCAGGCTTTGACTGGATATTCTTGTCAACAAAAGGTCTCTAGTTTTTTGTTGACGAATCAAAGAAATCGGGTGGAGGTGGATTGAGGATAGAGGGGTTGCCTTGCGAAAAGGGTTTTGTTTGGTGTGAAAAGTTGGAGAGAGAGACAAACAAAATAATGGTTCTTCTTCTAGACTGGACTGGACATGATTCATCATTCATGAAGATGAAGTGCTGCTTGCTTCATCTTTCTTTTTTTGCCATCTCATTTTCCACCTTTCTTCTTTCCAAGTTCGGGGTTTGCGTGGTTGGTCTGCGTTTCATCAAAGAAATGATTATGTTTGAGCAAAAGAAATTGAAAGCGATTGGAAATATGTACCACCATGTATACGTAGCAGCCTAGCTGGACCCCCCAATTGTGCGGTAAGATATCTAGATAGAATAGCAGGACCCACAAGGGGATTATTTAGGTGGGCCCATCTCTTTGCTAATTTGACCATATTGGGCCATTATGGCTTTCTAATAAGCCCCGAACTTGAAAGAGATAAGCCTTTTAAGAAGGATAAACCATAAAGCCCAATAAATTGATGAACCAAATTAGGGTTTGGCTTGGGTTCGTCCGTTGACTTTCCAAACACCCAAAAAAAAAAAAAAAAAGTACCTATGTTTTTCTCTAAATAATGTACTCTTTTTTTTCTCCAATAATGTATACCTAGTAAAACAATTTGCCTAGTATAATGAACTTATTTTTTTTTCTAAATAATGTACCTATTTTTAATTTATAAAAAATGTATGGAAATTTCAATTACAAAGTAATTGACCTATTTTTGTTAAATATTTTTTTGGTAAATAATATTTCTATATTTTTATACATATATATTTATATATATATATTCATATGTACATTATTGGATATGTAATTTACATATTTTTTTTATTTGCAATTTTAAGGGGCCATATGTTAGAGGGAGTGGCAAGCAAAAGAAATAGGGTGATTGGAATAAATTATAAATAAAATATGAAGTCTGATGGCAAGGATGTAAAAACATAGGAATACTACGACCTCTTATATCCTACTGGTCATTTAAGTTTGAAATTGGGTTTTACACATAGATTTATAGAATGATGAGTATATGTATAGGAAATAGAAATTGTAAGGACCTATATTGGACAAGCCAAAAAACAAAAACCTAAAAGAACCCATCAGTGGGGAAAGCAAAAGGCTTGAAGAGAAATCCATTTTGGGGGGCACAAATTGAAACTGCTGCCCATACTGAGATCAGTGCAACTTATGTTTTTGCTTGAGATGCCACTCTGTTCGTGCTCGTACTATCTCCGCCTTATCAGCCTGCATCCGAAGCAGATGCGTGTACTCTAGGTCGGGCCTACGGTTGATGGAGTTGTTCTTGCAATTGGAGTCTTCAGCCAAACTTGCTGTTGCACTTGTCATGGACTCTAGCAAGTTTGATTGCCTGCATTCACGTCTATACTCCAATGTCATGCTTGTGAGATCATAATCTCCCAACACATTGATGGGCACGCTCTGCTTAATAAAACACAAATGAATTTTGATTTAGTAACACATAATTAAAATGAAAAATGTTGCATGTAAGAGCAGCTTGTGTTATGTATTTTTAAGTACCTCCAAAATCCATCCAATGTATTTCACATTGTTTACATGCTGGTTGGCATCCATGTCACTCCATCTGGGCTGGGATAATTGCAAGACAAAGTAGGTTGTTAATATATTAAGATGCTAACCAATTACCAACATTGCATGAAATTTTGTTTAGTTTGATAGTTTGGTGTTCTTATATTTTTCTAGACTTACTGCTAAGCCTGATCGGATCCTCCCTGCAGTGCCGTCGGTGAGCCTGTCGATTTTTTCGCTGTCATTTTTCTCAGTGGCAACTGCAACTCTGTTTAGGTAGAATGGTAGCACTTCCTGTCTCACTTGTTCTGGAATCTTGGACAGCCTTCTTGTTTCTCTGTTCATGATCACCCAAGTGCTGCATGACAGATAAAAAAAATTGGAGGTCAGCTAAGCTATTTAGAGTTTTACGTTTGGATAAATTATAAATTAAGCAGAAGAAGCTAGACCTTGTAGCTCTTGTAATGATTTCTTGAGTCTTGTAGTCTCGGATGATCCAATCCCTGCGCATTCCATTTTTGCCTGCTGCATCCACCCAAGTATCTATTTCAACAACATCTCCCCTGTCACATAACCCATTTTAGTCCCATTAGTGGGGTGCGAGTAATGCTAGAGAGACCACATTTTAAGTATTTGTCTTGGGCGTAGAGATAGCCTCTTGCAAAAATATTATCAATTATTATGTCTAGTTGTTCATAAAAACATAATATGGCATCACGTACCAGGAGCTATATCTCTGTACTTGAATGAAGATGCGGGTGACAACCCAAATAAGCTTCCGGATGCTCATCTCACGGGTAGCACCGAACCCGTTTCCAGCCAGGCCAGAGCTTGTCACATGATTTAGAGCTGTTTCCTGCAACCAATGGCTTTCACAGTTAATGAACATATAAACTCTAGACTTTCATGATTAAACTCTCCTAACTAATGACAGTATGTTCATTAATTTCACAAGGAGCAAAAATTACAACGGGCTATCCCTCTCAGACAGAGACATAAAAGAGTAAAAAAGGAAAAAAAAAAAATGGACCTGAAGGAGATTCATGAGTGTTTCCATGGTGGCAGTTTTGTCTGGTCCAATCTCATAAGACCTGATTACGAAGGTCTGCCTATATACAAACCTGCCCTCAACAAAACTTCCATGCAAAGAGGAATGAGCAGGTGCATCAATGTCACTATCTTTAATTAAATCTGTACTATTTTTGTTTCCAAACAATGTACCCTCTCCCACACGAACCCCATTGACCTTTCCATTGATTGTCTCCACACTTCTAGGAGTTCCTCCGGCGCTGCTTCTCACCGAAAACTTTCCGTTTTTGCTTGTGATCATTGCTACACGCCTCGAACGATAAAACCCCAATTTGGTAGCCATCTCATTCTTCTCTGCCTTGCACATGTCCCTTGGAAGGCATAGTGTAGCAATGTTGTAAGTTCTTGCTGCCATAATTTCTAAGCGCTCATTTGGTTGATCAGAGATACGGAAAGAAATAAACCCAACGAAGTTTCAAGTTTGATAAAAGAGGGTGATCTAGCTTGTTTAGCACTTGTTGAAGAAAGAAAATTTGTCAAATATTTGTAGTAGGTGTAACCACTTACTAGCAGGAATAGCAGATGTAGTTATAGAATTCTAGACAAAGGGAAGATTTTGTCTTAAAATGGAGGAGGCCATGGGATTTTTAGCTCAACCACTTCAATGGGTGGGGGAGAAATGTGGAGGGCCTGCACCAATGGCTTACACGCCAATGTAATTAGTGGTGTTTTGTGCATGTTTACAAGGTAGTTTTTAATAATAGATAACTTGGGGAAAAGTAATTTGGATTCATTAGTAACTCTACCATTGATTATGTTGTTTAATTTGGTCTTACTATTATGTTCTCGCAAGGAAAAAGGTGTACCTCTAAACAATAAGCCTTGTTTTGGTAATCTGTCTTCCAACTTTGGCTAGGCAGAGCATTTGAGATTGCTAGGAATACAAAGCATTCGTTAACAAAAACAACACTTAGCCTCGACAGAAGAAAGCCCACGGAAATGCTTGCTCAAGCAAGACATGAAATTTTCAGACCCTTTTTTTATAAAAGCCCACTTTCCATCCTTGGTAATGCAGAGCATTGGTCATCAGAAATCCAAATCAGATTTAGCCCACAAAGATGCTTGTCGACCATAGATCAAATAAGTTGCATTGTAGGGGGTTCAAATCCTAATCTAGCCCTGAAGAGAATCATACTTACAATCGAGTGTATACTTTTGTATCTATCACACTCATCACGTTACTGTTGCATTCATTCGGTGAGATGATAGATTCTCTCCTAAGCATGATGGAATCTAATGCAATGGATGAGACTTGACACTAATCAAAACCTCAAATTAAATATTTAACAAACCCTATCAAGAAGCTTCAGATAAATCATTACCCCACCTTCGGATGATCCGTCTGGACCGGCCATGTAAAAAAGAAAAGAACTCTACGTTGATTTGGATCGTCATCCTCCGGCACGTGTCACCGACGTCGACTTAAAAAACAGAAGAAATACATGAACACGTGGCTTGTGTCTGGGGCAAAGAACAAAGCCATCGTGTCATTTGAGGGAAATGGCAGAGCCCAAGGCGGTCCAGCCACACACACACGCACCTGACCAACCTGATGAGACCACACTGTGCTTCAGCCTCTAGATTGCGACTGGGCGGTGCTAAATCCACATCGACACGTCCAAGGCAGAATCCGATACTTGCTCTTCTCCTGCCACGTGTCCTCTCCATCTTATCATATATACATGCCCACAACCACCTTCCAAAATCACATCAACTGTCTTCATTTTCCCCAGCTCTGAACAGTGAAACCCGATTCTCACTGGCTCAGTTTTCTGCAACCAATCCCTCTTAGTTTGTGCTTTCAATTTAATTTCTTGGGGCCTTTTTGTCCTTTTGGAACCCACAAAGACAGCGAAACAGAACAATGGGAAAAGGCTGGACCATGCTCACCCAACTTCATTCACTGGCTGGGTAAGACTTTAATTTCGTTTACTGCTTTTTTCATCTTCTTTTTTGGGTTAATTTTCTTTCCAACATGTATTAATTTTGTGCTTTATCAGTTTATCTATTTCCCCTAATTCCCAATGTTCTTGGAATTTTTTTGCAGGCCAGTGGTGACGTTGCTTTACCCCTTGTAAGCAGCTCCTCTCTGTCTCTGTCTCTCTCTCTGTGTCAAGTTTTTATTTTTTTGTTTTTGCATTTTTTTCATTATATTAATAAAACCCAGTAAGGGGATGAACTTGTTCTTGATATTTTTTTTTGGTGTTTGATTATAGATATGCATCAGTGATAGCCATAGAGAGCACATCTAAGATAGATGATGAGCAGTGGCTTGCTTATTGGATCATCTACTCTTTCCTCACTCTCTTGGAGATGGTAATCCAACCAGCTCTAGACTGGTAAGAACAAATCATAAAAGCGTCAAGAATACACAGATACTATCAGAAACTAAGTTTATGATTGGAAAATGGAATTTGCAGGTTACCAATTTGGTATGACGTGAAGCTTGTGTTTGTGGCATGGTTGGTTCTTCCACAATTCCAAGGGGCAGCTTTCTTGTATGAGAAATATGTGAGACAGCAGCTCAGGAGGTATAGAGATGGGAGAGATCATCCTCAATCCTCCAACAAGTCCCCCACTGGGAAAGGAAAGAACAAGTTTGTGCATTTCATGACCCCCAAGAATGTGAGTTCCTTCTTTTGAGACTTTGATAATATTTTTTTAATCTCTTATTGATCCATTTTTGGTTATGGGCAGCAGGGGGAGCAGGAGGCTTATTGAGAAGGGCAGAGCAACAAGAGGCTTTTTGGTGTGAAAGAGTGAAGCTTCTTCAACCGTTGGCTTCTTTTTCACCTTTGTGCTTTTACTTTAGTTGTTTTTCACTTTTGACTTTTAACCTGCTCCAATGTACAAGTTGATGACTTTCCAGGCTTTTGTGGCCATTCTTCATGATGTCTGGTATAGATGAGACACATGTTATCAGAAATCGGTGTTATATCACTTTCTGTTCAAATGGGGTTCATAATCATACACGTCTCTCTCATCCGTGTCCAATTTTCAACCCCCACTAATAACTGTGGAAGGTGTTTCTTCGCACACACACATGCCCAACCTAAAATGCGTTGCTTAAAACGAAGGGAGGCTAGTTTGATTTGTATAGGTTAGGTGTTTTGTCTTTTGGGGCTTGCAAGGAAGGCTATAATCAGTTGTCTCTTTCTTGAGTGGGCCTAATGAAGTTGGTTAGAAGTGGGCTGCTCATGAGAAGAGCCCAAAAGAAAAAGAAAAAGCAAAAAAAAAATAAGCGATAGTTTAAACTACATAATTTATGTATTAGTATGTGAAGTTTTTAAAAATGTTTCCTTGAATTTTTAACCTAAAGAAAACGACTGTGTGATGCAAAGGCCCTTCACGGGTTGGGAAAAAACTATGTAAAAAGTTTAGGCTTGAAATTGTTTTCGTTTCCATGTTGCAAGATATGCAACCAGATGGTCACAAATTACAACCACAAAAAGAAAGAAAAGGGAAAGGAAGAGGAAACAACAAAGAAAGGGAAAAAAGAAAGTAAAAGACCCTCTATAAAATGGCACCCGAGGCCTACCATAATTCTTGGGATTCGCACCACCCAGGAAAATGTGTGTGAATGGAATTGGGATACCATACATTTTAAACAAGTAAAAACAGCTTTTCAAGTTTTGAGCCTATATCAAATCAATCTGTGGATTAATTTCCAGTTGTGCTAACTTTTAAAAGCTTCATTTTTTGAGGGAATATTTTGGTTGCTTTGTACTCTGGTGTACTGTATACATGTACGTACACAGTACACATCCATCACATGCATGGCATGTGGGTTGAGCAAGGAAGAATCACCATGTAATTAGATTAGGCATCCACATGATCCACATCCGCATCCATTTACCAACTTTTAGAAAAGTTTTTCGGTTCTTTAGGCACCAAGAATTAAGAACTAATTAAGCACTAATTAGCATGCAAGTTGGGTTGTTTTTAAATTTTTAAGAAAACAAATGATAATTGTGACCTCCTTTGACTAAATACATGTTGGATTACAGCACTAATCTCCTTTTATCTTAGGAAGGAGGAATCATACACGTACATACTCTTTAGAAATGGAAAAGTGAGAGGGAAAGGAAGGGTGTTGATTTGTTTGTTTTTAGTTTTATTCGTTATAGAAACGATTGTCTAAACTACTTTAATTTAAAGGGAGGAGATTTAAACTTGAGGTGGGCGCATCGTCGCGTGGGTAATTTGCTTAACTCAATTTGCAGAAAGAGTATTCATATCCACCAATATAAAATAAGATTTGCTTTTAGTTCCCTAGATTTCATCTAAACGGCCTTGGCGCTTTCATGACCTAAAAAAGCTATTTTCAATAATGTCTAAGTTGCAAAGAAAAACCATTCACTTAGTGCTCACTAGCCTCTCCACACGCGCTTTCGCGCCTGCGAGAGGCTTTTTTTAAAAAAAAATTAAATTTATTTTAGAATTAAAAAAGATAATGGGTAGTTGTGTTCCATAAAAAGAGGATCCATTATCTGATTTTTCTTTTAATTTAAATTTTTTTTAATATGACAAAGCATGAATTTACCATATTATCCTGATTTAATTAATAATTTTAATTCTTAATGTTTGCATTAATCAATGGTATTTTATAGTATTTTGAATGTTTCACCATTCTCTGCCTTTTGCTTTATATATATAGATAAAATGATTATAATTAAGCATGATTTGTATACAACTCTCTTCTGGTGTAAATTTAATTGAATATGAAAACAGAAGATCATTTTGACGGAGTATGACTTTAATAATTAAATATCTACTCACAAAAGAAATTACAAAATATTACGATAGCATGACCACATAGTTCATTTTATACACGTGTTATAATATCGCCACATGCTACATCTTGTACTGTAGTATTCTATAATCACTCCTACTCACGCCCCTCCCCGGTTGCCTTTTTTGTTCCACTCAACAATGTCCCATCTAGTTGAGGAATTATGTGAGCAAAAGGCCAACAAAGCCTTCACTCAAACGTCCAGGAAAAAGAAAGGAAATACAATTATGCATATGCTTTCTACGTGGACTGCTTCTCCTTTAATAAATTTCATGAACAAAGAGAATCTATCTATAGCCCCAAACACCATCGAAGGCTCAAACTTATTCCTTAGTTGCATCAGTGAAGCTGATCATAAATTCTGAGACTGTTACTAAATATTAATAAAAATTTGCAAGCAGGGGAAAAGCAGGTAGCCTGAGAAGCAAAAGTAACTAATAAAACACCAATCAATCTCCCACGACTTTACAAAAGTCACCTTCCCATATAAAGTAATAATCTGATGAATCTTAAATTACCGAAGTAACCCCATTTCACCCACTATATAAACCAGTGTTTGCAAATGCCCTATGGTCCGCAGATGAAAACCACCCCCTCAATCTTTTCTCTTGTTCTTCTGAGATTCTCCTGACTCATCAGAATTACCTCTAGTCCCTTAGGCAAAAATGGATCCCATCAAGATCTTGAAGTTCCAAGCAATGCACAAGCACAAAAAGGGGCATCATCACCAGCCTTTCAACAATCTCTTCCTTTATACTTTGACAGCATTAACTTGCAGTCTGTTTTGTTTTAGCCCTTTATGGCTTCCCTCTTTAACTTCTTCCATGAAGGCCTTTGTCTTTGTTTCAGTCCCAAAAATCAGTTCACTGTTTTTGAGCTCCAAGTTTGTGTTCATACTAGGCAATCTCATTGTTGTTGCCCTTGTTGGAGAATCCAAAATCTTTTCCACAGTCTCTTCTGCATCTAATATTGTTGACCAATATGAAAGCATGAAAAGGTGCCAAACCCTTCAGAGCTCTTCCACCCACCACCAAAAGGAACCCAAGAATCTGAGTACTTTTGTGGAAGAAAAGGTGATGCTGAAGAGGACTTGTGGAGATGAAGAAGCTATAGAAGGGAAAGGATGGGATGAAGAAAGTGAGGAAGTAGTGGTGAAGGTGAAAGAGGATATAGATGAAGATGAAGATGATGATGATGATGATGATGATGATCAGAAATTGAACCAAAGAGCTGATGATTTTATTGCAAGGGTCACTGAAAGAAGGCTGTTTGAATTGGAGCTAGATAACCGCTTTTGTAACACTGAAAAATGAACTTTAGTAGTAGAATAGTTATAGGTTTAGTAGCAATTAAAGCTGAAGAAGTACTCTTTTTTCTTATGTTTTTCCAACCAGTATGGTCGGTTAGTAACAAGATGGTGATATGTTTGCATGTAAATTTATGACTCCTTGTTCAAGTATATATTCAATTGCCCTATACTACTTGGTAAGAAAAGCTACTGTGTTTCGGTGGTTTGGTGGCTCGGTTTGGAGTGGACTATTTATTTTCATTAAATTGAATTAGTGTCTTGACCGTTCTATACCAAACGAGATTGAACATGTGTTAGACTTAAAAAGACGGATTTAATTATGCTGATCTGAAGAGCAACGAACGTTGTTCAACAACAAAACTCAATCTGATTCGAGGTGCCATAAAGCTTAAAGCTCCAACAAAATCCAAGCTTCAGCTGCTTCTGCTCTTATATAACTTTTTGTAATGTTAGTATCTTTAGACGAACACAGAAAGAAACCCTTTTCTCCCTTTTCTGAAATTCCTGTGGCAGTGGGTTTGGGAGTACACATGGCACTGCAGTGCTTTACTAATACAAGCCCAAGACCAGCCCAACCCAATCACCCAATATTGTAAGGACCCCGAGCTCTGTTTTTGTTCTTATCCTTCTGAAGCGGCAATAATAAGGAGCACCAAGACAAATTATACCGTCACCCAAGGAACGTCTAGACCACGTGTCCTATTGTTGCGATGCCATGGGTGAGTGCCATTGTTCCACCACCTTCTTCTACTGTACCTCTGCATGCCATGCCTTGCCTTATATATAACGAAACCCCAAACCAAACAGCTGGCTTTCAAATCCATCTTTATCATCTCAGAAATCTCAGAACGATATCTTTATCTGTTGTCATCAATTAGTCATGTTGGGTCTTAATCTTATCCACAAGTTCTTGAATCTTGTAGCTCCCCCTTTCACCTTCTTCTCCCTCTGCCTCTTCCTGCCACCCTTTTATCTCTTCAAGTCCTTCCTCTCTGTGTTGAGCTCCATTTTCAGTGAAAACGTCAATGGAAAGGTGATCCTCATCACTGGTGCCTCCTCTGGTATTGGAGAGGTAAACCCTAAAACCCTATGAAATTAATAATGTAACATGTTAATTAATTCTTCTTAATTACTTATACTTTATTTATTTTTGTTGATAGCATTTGGCTTATGAGTATGCAAAAAGAGGGGCACGGTTAGTTCTTGTTGGGAGGAGAGAGGACTCATTGAGAGAAGTTGTTGATCGAGCAAGTGACTGTGGCTCCCCAGATGTTCTTATGGTTGGTGCTGATGTTTCCAAGGTTGAAGACTGCAAGAGAATTGTTGATGAAACAATCAACCACTTTGGAAGGTGTAAGTACAACTTCTAAATGAACTAATTTTATCAAAGAGAATTAATGGCATGATTAATTGATGTGTATGGTGAGGTGATGCAGTGGACCATCTGGTGAATAATGCTGGGATCACTTCACTTGGCATGTTGGAAGAAGCAACTGATATCACTAATTTTAGAGCCATAATGGTAATTGCTCTAATTCCATTAATTTTAGCCATCAATTTTTAAGTAACCCAAGTACTGAATTGGGCTCTGCCCAAAGAAAAAGATTCCTAAATTGGGATATTAATTGTTCGTAGTAGAGGTTGAAACGACTTGTCGTTGCAGGACACAAACTTCTGGGGTTCAGTTTATACGACCCGTTTTGCAATTCCACATCTGAGAAGCAGCAAAGGTAAAATCGTGGTGCTTTCTTCCGCTGCTTCGTGGTTGCCTATACCAAGGCAGAGCATTTACAATGTAAGTAGTAGTCTTTGAAACCCTAATATTTAGAATGTTTGTACCGTACATATATATGATTTCATTAATTATTGATTGGTTATATAATATATGATTTGATCAGGCAAGTAAAGCAGCTCTGTTAAGCATGTATGAGACACTGAGGATTGAGTTTGGTCCAAACATCCAAATCACAATTGTAACTCCTGGCTACATAGAGTCTGAGCTCACCCAAGGCAAATTTTTAATGAGTGATGACGGCAAGATGATAGTGGATCAAGACTTGAGAGATGTAAGCTAATGTGAATCTAAATCATTGATCATGGCTCGATACTTGCTTGAATTTAGGTCAAGATTAATTAACATCTATCCATGCTGTGAATCTAAGCCATTGATTATGAATGTTCATTGTTTGTGCAGGCTCAAGTAAGTGCGACTCCCGTTGGGTCAGTGGAAGGGTGTGCAAAAGCAATAGTGAACAGTGTGTGCCGTGGGGACAGGTACTTGACAGAGCCAGCATGGTTCGGGGTGACATATATATGGAAGGTGTTTTGCCCTGAGCTGCTGGAGTGGGGATATAGATTGATGTACGTGACAAGGCCCGGCTCTTCGGCCAAAGAAGCACCAAGCAAGAAGATCTTGGATTACACTGGAGCCAAGAACGTACTCTACCCTGAAATCCTCCAGAGTCCAGAAGTCAAGACAGATTGAAGTTGTCTACTTGGGTGGGGGGATTTTGGGTTTTGTATGTTATGTGAAATAGTGTGTGGTGTTTTATGCGTGTTGGATTGTACGAGGGATAAAAATGTGGTAAATGTAGCATTACTGGTTAAAATTATGTTGTGTTTTATGTTTTTAGCCAATAAGGGGGATGCTTTTTGGGCCTCACAATTGTTCTCTATGTATGTACATATTTGCCAGCATAAGTGTAGACGCGTGTGCATTTCATGATCAGCCAGGTGGATCCACCAGGATATGCCACGTGTTGTACAAGCCAAACTGATGTACATGGGGACTGTTGGCAAATCCATGTGACAGTCATAGAGCGACCAACTCAACCGTGGAGCTTCACTTCTTTTGAATATGACATATACCAACTATGTTGTCTCAAGCCAAGAAAAGGAAAAAAGAAAAACACTCGCTCACCAATTAAGTGAAGACAGATGGAAGGAAAGAAAGCAAAAAAATTGAAGATAACATATCTCAACCTATTTGTCGGTATTATGATCGAGGAGAGTCTTTTCATGAGTATTTTTCATATTATAGATATAATGTATATTTTAACACAATTCGTTTCAGTTTATTTCAGAGTCGTTTTGCCAATCAAACTTCATTAACTATTGAAAATTGATTGAGAAGGAACACTGTTGTAATTGTGATATAATTGTTCTTAACGAGTAATTAGTAAATATATTAACATTTTCCATTAACTGTACAGAAATATGTGGCGCAGGATGCGCATATATATGCCAATATCGTTAATCTATACCCTCAAGATAATGGCAATCTTCAACAAGATCCCTCTCATCTCTCTCTCTCTCTCTCTCTCTCTCTCTCTCTCTGATTGAGACTAAATGCTTGCAAACTCGCTAGAGAGAAGAAGCTAGGCAGCTATGGATTTGATTCACAGAGTGTTGAACGTAGCAGTCCCTCTACTAACATTCACTGGATTGCTTTTCTTTCTTCCACTTTTTCTCATTTACAAGTTTATTAGTTTCATGCGTCGATCAAAATCCATCGAAAGCATGGCCGGCAAAGTTGTCCTCATCACCGGAGCATCTTCAGGTATTGGAGAGGTAACAAATTAATCGCATACACACATCTACATATATATTATTATTTTGTACCTTTTTTTTATCTTATCCAATGTTTTCCTTCCTAATTTGAAGCACTTGGCATATGAGTATGCAAAGAGAGGAGCTCGTCTGGCGTTGGCAGCCAGACGAGAGGACCGCCTTCGGGCGGTGGCCGATAAAGCTCGAGGGCTAGGCTCTCCAGATGCCATTGTGCTCCCAGCTGATGTTTCAATTCTTGAACACTGCAATCGACTTGTTAATGAAACCGTCAATCACTTTGGCCAACGTGAGTAGTTTCTCACAAAACGAATTATGCTTTTTGGCTTTTAAAATTATCAAAATCAAAATGAATATCAAAGCTGCTAATTAATTGATGCATGGTTTTTGTTTTTTCCTTGTTTTTTTATGTGCAATATTAGTGGATCATTTGGTGAACAACGCCGGGATTCTGCAAGCTGGCTCGTTTGAAGATTGGACACAAGGCCAAGTCTCTAAGTTGGTTTCGATCATGGTATTATTTTCTACTTAAATGCATGCAAATGATTTGTTGTTCTGTTGAAATTTGTGATCATAAAGGTGTTAATCAACCCACTTAGCCTTATAATTAAGCTTCAAGTTTAGAGGGCTGTCAGCTAATTCATGTATGACTTTGATGTGTAGGACATAAATTTCTGGGGTTCAGTCTATTGCACCCATTTCTCACTTCCACACTTGAGAAAAAGCAAAGGGAAGATTGTTGTAATTTCTTCAAGTTCAACATGGTTTTCTACACCAAAATTTGGTTTCTACAATGTAAGAAATTATATATATATGACTCTATAGTATATAGTTTGCTTTATCTAACACCCTTGTTAATGTTAATTATGTTTTGCTAATTGGTTATTAATTTGGTGGCTACTTCAGGCAAGCAAGGCAGCCCTGACTTGCTTCTTTGAGACATTGAGGGCTGAACTGGGATCTGATATTGGGATAACAATTGTGAGCCCAGGATTGATTGAGTCTGAGATGACAGGAAGCAGCCAATTTTTATCACAGGTAATCAAATCATGTGGGACTCTTCCATTAATTAAATATATCCTCCAAATTTATATTTGAATTTGGCTAGAATTCTGGTTGATAACTCTTTGGGAGTGCTTTTGGAAGAGCTAAAAGCGTTTTCTGACAACCAAAGAGCTTCTGATGTTAAAACTGGTTATAGGCCGTAGAAGCGCTTGGATTTCTTAATTTTTATAATAAAAGCGCTTTTATGAGAAGCGCTTATGAACATAAATGTTTTCCCACACGAGTCACATTCATTTTGTTTACAATTATTGAGCATATATATTAGTAAATTAGATGTCACTGTCACACCCTTTTTTTGGCACTATGCTTTTAAAAGCTAGACCCTTATTAAACGTGGTTTCGTTTGATGTTTCGATCTGAACTGAATTTGAAGCTACATTTCATGATTGCGTTGTGTATGATGATGTATGTGTTGTGTTAGGTTCGTCCAAATTTGATGCCAATTAAGTCAGCAGAAGGGTGCACAAAGGCAATTGTGGACAGTGCTTGCCGTGGAGACATGTACCTGACAGAGCCAGCTTGGGTCAAGTTCGGATTCTGGTTGAGGGTTTTCTGCCCTGAGCTACTTGAGAAGCTTTTACAGCTAATGGCAACGAAGACGAACCCAGCAGGAACTTCAATTAAAGATGATTAATTAGGAGAAACATTAATTAATTTCTGTTACAATGTAATATTGTACTAACTTCTATCACACTACTCATGGATCATGGTAGAGAAAATCAGAGTAGAGAATCCGGATCCCACTACTCGTATCCCTTTTGAACGAGGGTCCAATAAATTATTTTTTTTAGTTTTGCCTTGTATTAAAATAAAATAAAAATCTTTTAAAGAGAGTTGGAATTTAAAGCTATGTTGGGTCTCTAAAGAAAACATTTGGGTGCCAATAAAGTTTCCCATAATTGGTAAGATTAATAACATTAAGCCCAAAAATAAAAAGCCCATGAAGCCCAAATGGAACAAATAAACCCGAAGACTAACCCAGAGATCAGGAAAGTGAAAAATCTATCCCAGTCAGATCAGAAAAGTAAAATCTATCACCGAGTTTTTCAGGTTTTTCTAACTTGTTCAGAATTATGCTCGCCGGCGACCCACCTTCCGATTTCCCAACGCCGGACACCTCCGAGAAGGTGTTCATCCGCCCCAAAGTCCTCCTCAACATGCTCAAGCATGGTGCGTTTGCTTCTTCCATCTCCTTCTTCTTCTTATCTTTTTTTTTTAAATTATAAATTTTATGCAAATTAATTGTTTTTAATCTTTCGTTAATTGTATGAAATTTGATAGCAAGGGCGGGCGTTCCTATGGAGGTGATGGGGTTGTTGCTCGGAGAGTTTCCCGACGAGCAGAATCGACGTCGTCGACACCATTGAAATGCCGCAGAGTGGTACGGCCGTTAGTGTGGAAGCCATTGATGACGCCTTCCAGACGAAGATGCTCGACATGGTTAAGCAGACTGGACGGTACTAATCTCAGTGTCACTTAGATTATCTAGCTTAATTACGCTTCTGCCTCCTTATAATTAGCTTAATCTTCTTCTGATTCAAACTGCAGGGCAGAGCAGGTTGTAGGGTGGTACCATTCACATCCTGGGTTTGGCTGCTGGTTATCTTCTGTGGATATGAACACCCAACAGGTTCTAGCTTTATACAATTTTTCTATGAGTATATGAATGTTGTGTTAGAAAATTCCATATGGTTGATAGAGATTATATTCTTTTGACTGTTCTCAATTGGTTTGATCCAATGGCTGCTGGTTAGTTGTTAGTTGGTTCTTATCTATGCCTGTAAATCTTCTCCAGAGCTTTGAAGCTTTGCATCCGCGTGCGGTGGCGGTGGTGGTGGATCCAATTCAGAGCGTCAAGGGGAAAGTGGTGATGGATGCCTTCCGCCTCATCAACCCACAAACCATAATGCTTGGCCAAGAACCAAGGCAGACAACATCCAATCTGGGGCATCTTAATAAGCCATCCATCCAAGTAAGCTTCTGAACAAGTTTAAATTGTAAATCCCTTTCTTTTGCAAATTATAATGACAAATTTTTGACCTCTTTCTGTAAATTTTATCTTCAGGGATTGATCCATGGGTTGAACAGGCATTATTACTCCATAGCTGTGGATTTCAGGAGGAACGAACTTGAGGAGAAAATGCTGCTTAGCCTTCGTCAGAAGAAGAAATTGACTGATGAGCTGGTGCTCAAGCCATTTGATGCCCATTCAAAAACAAATGAGCAAACTATTCAGGTTAGAAAGTTCATCTCAATGATTTTAGTTTAATGTAATGGCTTGGCTTGTCACTGTCCAGAAATACTATGATTTTAGTTTTAGAAAAACCACTAGATCTTCGTCTCAATGTTGTTTACCTGGTTAAAAGTTCGTGACAAAATGAAAACCTGTTTGACAGAAGAAATAAGTGTTGGAATTTTGTCAGCATGGTTTAAAGTGTGAGCTGATTTGAATTGAGGTCTAGTGTTCATGGTTTTTTCTTTTTTTCTTTTTTTCATTCGGGTTTTGCAGGAAATGTCAACCTTGGCTATGCAATACATCACCGCAGTGCAGGAGGAATACGAGGAGGAAGATGAACCAGAGAAGCTTGCGATTGCTAAGGTGGGAAGGAAAGATGCCAAGAAACACCTTGAGCACCTTGTCTCCAACTTGATGTCCTCAAACATAGGCCAGACTCTTGGAGCAATGCTTGATACTGTTGTCTTCTAGATTTTGTGTGTTGTTGTCTTCTAGATTGAGTATGTTTGGTACATTTTTTCCTTTCATCTTCTGATGAGATAGATAGAAACTGTAGTTTATTTATGTGCTGAGAATGACATTAAATAGCAAACTACATTTGCTTATCTGGAAAAGCTTCCTTAATCATCATTGTTGTTTAAGCTTAGGATATCTATCGAACCGACTCCGGATACAGACACTCCTTCAAGCCGGTTAGGTCCAGGAGCTTCTTACTTATTGTATCCCTCTCGCCACCGCTCCCTTTGCTCATCAGTAACATATGGTTAGACCATTCCAGTAACTCTGGGAAAAACACCTTCCAGTAAAATGAATGCCAAACCCAAGCTGGTACTGTCAAGTAATTTTCTCCCCGGCATGCGCTGTCCACGATTGATTTGGCAGCCTCCTTGACAGGCAGTATTGGCATTATGCTTACTTCAACCTAACACATGGGGTGTTCGAAATTAAGCACATAAATTAATACCATTGAACTCTATAATCACACAATAACCAAAGTAATTAATTAAGCTTACATCTCTCAATTCTTGATCCAATACCAGTTGGCCTTCCTTGGATAAGAATTTGCCTTTGGTCATTTCTGATTCAACCAAACCTGGAGTCACAATTGTTATTCCAACTTCTCTCCCAATTTCAACTCTCAGCGTCTCATAGAAGCTTATCACTGCTGATTTGGTAGCCTGAACCCAATGTGAAATTAGAGAACTAATTAGAGATTTGAGTACTGAATTAGCTTGTTCATGAGGTTAATTGGTTCCCTTACTTACACCATACAAGCTTAGTCTTGGCACACGCAACCATCCGGCAGAGGAAGCGATCCCCACGATCTTCCCTCTACTCCTTTTAAGGTGTGGAATGGCAAAGTAGGTGCCATATACAGAACCCCAAAAGTTTGTGTCCTGTCAAACAAAGTGGAGCATGCACTAATTTCAATCACAAACATAAATAATTTCCAGCTTAATTTCATGAATTCACTAAACAATACATATGTAGTGTTAATTAACAATGAAGGCATTATAATTGTATTTACAAATTACCATAGCTGGTGCTATTTTAGTGACATCAGTGGCCTCTTCAAACAAGCAGACTGGAGTAATCCCAGCATTGTTGACTAGGTGATCCACTGTAATTAATTGTCAAGAATTAATCCACATAAATAAACATACGAATAACCAGAAATTCTCTTATGCCTGGTAATAACGTGTGAACATCCGGATGAGAGAATAATTGTACGAATAACATAATCAAACTGAGAAAACTAATTAGTTAATTAATTAATTGCACTTACAACGCCCAAAGTGGTTCACTGCTACATCGACAAAGCGCCTACAATTTTCCACCTTTGAAACATCTGCAGGGATTACGAGAACATCTGGGGAGCCAATGGACATGGCTCTGCTAGCCACAGATTGGAGCAGGTTTTCTCTTCTGTCAACAAGAGCTAGGCAAGCTCCTCTTCTAGCATACTCATATGCCATATGCTTCAAAACCCCCATCAAATCAACACAAACATAATTGTAAAAGCAAGTAGCTCATTAAATTGGGAATTTGGGAAATAATTTTGTTCCAAATTAATTATGAAAGTTTCATGTTACATTTAAAATTGCTAGGTTGGTGGTCCAAAATATATGTACCTCTCCTATGCCAGAGGAAGCTCCAGTGATGAGGACGACTTTTCCAGCCACATCTTCAGTAAAAACAGATCGTACGGCGGAGAGGAGGAACTTGTAAAAGAGATAGGGCGGCAGAAGGAAGAGGAAGAAGGTGAGGGATATGGGAGGAATTATAATGTTGAGTACCTTGTTAATGATATCATCCATGGCTTCTTTAATTAATTTGCATACAGAAATTTTATAAAAAAACAGGAATTGAAGTGCTGTTTGTTCTGATTAATTTCTATATATATATATACTTGGAAGGGTCAACAGAATTTTGCAACGTAGCAGTTGCATGAAAAAGGAAGCAACACGTAGTCCCGGTGCGGTGTCGATACAGCTTATTAGACAAGTAAAAATTGACCCCAAATAAAAGGGTATTTTGGGCACAAAACTTAAGAAATATATATCCAATTACCTACAATAATTTTCTTGTTATCTTCCTCATCTTTTAACACTTGTGTTCTTTCTAAACACTTGTGTTCTCCAGTGAAATAGCTGAGATAACGTTCAGAAAATCCGGCTTCACATAAGACGTTTTCGGAACCTCTTTCTGCGGCCGCCACAGCAGCCATTTTTGCAAGCAAGAGCTTCATCCAAATCCGGATCTTTTCCACGATGCAGCATTGACCATGGAACCACACGCCAATTGCATTTCCATTATAAGCAATAGCAACACCAGAACTATAAGCTAGATTATCAGGGGGATATATCAATGGGGTGGGAGGAGAGATGTTGTGAAGTCCGAGCTGGAGAGGAAGGATACTGTGATGTCCGAGCTGCAGAGGAGGCATGCCCAGATGCCCGAGCTGGAGGGGAGGCCTTTATTCTCCTCAAAAGCAACCACGCATCAGATTGAGTACAACCCTGCTTCATCTCAAGGGCAATTGGAAGATCATGCAATCTCATCTCTATAAGCATTATGCCCTGAAACATAAAACTCCAATATGATGACGAGAGAGAACTGATGAAACGATTGTGAATAAGGTCAAAAACTGAAAATTGACTTGGTACTTGGTAGGTATATTACCTCAAAATTTGTTAAGAATTTTTGAAACTGCTTCATTTTCTCCTTCATGTTACGGACTATTGTTTTGTCCGGAGAAGAAATGGCAGCTTTGACCTCCTCAGGAGAATGACCAATTCCCTCCTGTACAACCTGAAGAGCACAAACAGCTAATCAATATATCGAACTTCAACAAGTATTGGTCATCATGGATGACACCCCACAAAAGCTCTAACTTACATTGTGATCAACGAGAATTTCTTTAATGAGAGTGCCGTCATCAACATACGCCTGAAGCTCATATGTATGTGTGTATTGGAACTTCTTCACACCAGTCAAAACACACTGCAGAAATTATGTCTACATTTCAGTAATAAAGTAACTATAAATCTATCATCTGATGGAAATAAAAATAATAGAAAACCATACGCACCTTAACCTTCCCCTGGATTGAATGAGTGTTCTTCATCATAGCTAACTTGGCTGACAAACTACATAGGTAACTGAAAGGTGGTTCGTGGTCTCCAGATAGTATTTCTTGGCGCTCGACCTCATTAACCACATTGATATCCTCATCATTCAAAATAGCATCAGACGATGGGTAACCCCCATGAGTTTCGCCCTCGTTAATCATATTGATATCTTCATCATTCAAAATAGAATCTGAAGTATGGTTTTCTCCCCCAATATGAATGGCATCCATTTCGACATCTTCAACATCCAAAGCATCCTCAAAGAATGGATTAGGAATGACATTTTCAGGCACTCGACTTTCCCTGCTATGACCAGCACTATTTATGTGGAGATTCTCAACACCAAAATCATCAGATAATGGGTTGGGAATAGCATTTCTTCTGCTATAGGGAGTAGTATCCATAGGCAAATCTTCAACACCAAATACATCAGTAGATGATGGGTTAACAACAGAGTGTTCTCCACTGAGAGGAACAGTAGATTCTTCGGCAGTCACTGGGCTGGTGTTTCTAGATGATACAGAGCTGGTATTTCTGGCTGATACAGAGAATGTAGCACCTACAATTCAAGAAAGGATGCGACAGAACTAACTTAGAACATAATGGAAAAACGTAATGTAACAACAGGAACTAACTAGAGCTGCTATCTTATATGACTATCTCCGACACATACATATGGAGTCATCCTAATTCTACATTATACAGAGACAAGAAATTCCAAGAAACTAGACATGAGCTGCTTATGCTCTAAAAAGCCATCTAGTGCCAACAACAAACAAGTAAATGGAGCCCTCTATATACCTTGGTTAGACGCCTGAAATGGGGTTGGGGCTTCCATTGTTGAACTATTGGTGTGTCCAGCATCATGAACACCGTTAGGAGGCCATGCAGCAAGAGTTAACCTTGTAGCTAGAGGAGGAACCACTCCATTCCTGGTTCTGCATAACAATAACACAAAAGTATCAATCTCATCTGCTTGGTATACTTTGTGCAAGTGTGCAAATTGTAATAAATGTAATGAAGTGATCAGTTGTAGTCCAGCATTCCCTTACTTCAAGAAATTGTGAACCCAAAGAAAAAGGGAGGGGGGAAGAAAAATCAAGATTGACCAGCATGTTTCTGAGCTTAAACTGCAACATGAATATTTTTTTTTTTTCCAGAACAGTTCCAAAGTCACAACAATCTTGATGTAAGTTATTCCTCACCAAAGAAAACAATTCATCTTGCAGTCCGCCAACATGAGTACTTTTGAACCAAGCATGTAGTCTGTAATCCAATATCATGGCCCAAGTTAACTTCAAACCTGTTTATCCAATAACACTATAAACTTCTACATTGCAAGTGCTTTTAGAAGTAGAAGTGTTATCTAGTGATGGAATAAGTTATACTTTTTTGTTTGACAATTTATGGTTTGACATGAACACTAGTAAGTTGTAAACCTTTAACACCACTAACATATCTTATACACTTTATAGTTACCTTTTTCCTCTAGGTGGCTTATTTACTTCATCAACAAGGCGTTGACGTGCAGCATCCAGTTCCTCAACTAATCCTTCTAGAACTTCAACAGATTCAGGGACCAGCATAAGAAGTCCGTGGCGTATATGCACATTACACATAGCAACCTAGAGGTTAATAGGATAATCTGTGTTTGAGTCAGAAGAGCAGATAAGCCTTAAAGGGTTTAATCTACCAGTACAATTTGTCTTTCTTGACACTAAAAAAACTGTCAAACATTGGAACAAAAATAAATGGAATAACCCCATGAAGTGAAACCATTTTCAGTAACGAAGATAGCCAGAGAAACATAAACCTTCAAACCAGCAGGAGCCAAAGCTTCAAGCACCTGAATAGGCCTATATTCCATGGCAAAGACGCGTTGAACACCGTCTGTTATGGACAACTTGAGGCACCTCTTCAGTCCAACAGCGGCTTTCTGATACCTAATCTTGAGAGGATTGCTGATATTAACAATCTCATCAACCTGCAACAAAAATAAAATAAAATAAAGGTTCGCCTGTATATATTGTCATTACCAAATGACATTTCAAGTTCACATTGTTCTGTTAATTCGCAGCAAAAGGTTCAAGCTTGACCTGCAACACATAAGGTCCGGGAAGATCGACGAGATGGAGAGAAGCCACATTTTCTGGAAGCACGCCTCCGCCGGACAGATTCATATCCGAAACCAAAAACTGCTCGAAGCAGAGCTTCGCCTTCGTCTCCACATCAAAATTTTGAAATCCCGGTACGGATTGCTGAAGTCCATGGACACAAGCATCGAGCCACTCCCTCTTTAGCCTTAACCCTAACCCCTGGAGATGTTCGCTAATCGGACACCCGCCGGAGCTCGGTGGAGATGGAGATGGAGGTGGAGGCGGCCGGTTAATGGGTTCCGGTGCCGGATCCTGAGCCGGCAGAGGAGAATGTGGTCGATTGTCGCTCTCGGGTTCCGGAGATGGCTGAGGTGACGGCGACGAGAGGTTGTCGGAGACATCGATGAACTCGTCGTCGTCGGAGGTGATTGGGAGCGGTTCGGAGGGGTAAGGGTTTGGAGGGGCTAGGGTAACGGGTGGGTGAGTGACAGCTGACGATTGCGGCTGAGGTTCTTCATTCTGGTGTTGTTGTGGTTGTGGTTGTTCTTCTTCGTCGGAAGAGTAGCTGAGCCTGAGACGTCTTCTGAGCATATTTGGTCGCAGAAAATTTTTGGGGATTTTGGAGGGGTTTTTAGAGACGACGGTTTGTTTTGCAGGGAAGTGAGTTTGAACTTTTCAGTTTTTTGGGCGGTAAAGGTGTAAATTGGGCTGAGCTTAGCTAACCGGCCCATTACAACTTTATCTTCTTTCCTTTTTGGGTAAATTTCACTTAAGTTTTCCGAAATTCAAACTTGCTACACGAAGTTTTTTTATACATTTGATTTTAAAATTTTAACTTTATTAATTTTAATTGTTTATAAAATAATACAAATTTTTTATTATTTATTGGTCCACGTGGCCCAAATTCAGTGATCAACATGGAGATATGAATGTCACATCGTCGTTTAACGGAAAACTTGACAGTCAAACTAATAAATGTATGAAAGTAGAAGTAAAATCAAAGTTTAGGCAAGAGATTTAGATGGAAAAAACTTCGTATAGCGACAGGAAACTTTTGGGTAGTGAAGTGAAATTTATCCCTTTTTTTTCTACTCATAATATTGCACGTGATCCTTTAAAAAAAAGGTATTGATATTTAGACCCTTCAACAAGGTCACATGCGAATCATGTGCAATTTTTAGAACGAAGACGTAAACAAAATTAAACTATAGGTGACACATTGCAACAAAGTTTTAATTTAAGTTGCACATTATTTCAGTTTGTGTTTAGTTGGCCATTTGACGCATTGTCAATCCAATCACAAATCTTATCACCATTTGTATGAACTATAAAATCACAACATTGCAGAACATGAAGATGTAAATATCATATGTAACACCTGATCAACAGTGAAGAAGAACGTAATAAGGAATTGCATAATTGCATTGAATCTTGGAATGTTAGCATTTGAAGAAATGATAGGATCCTAATTGTACAAAGTTTCTGTTCGTCAACCCTATTCGCTAACCCACCCACACCACCGCGCCCTGCCTCCCACCCCAATCAGCGAGAATTATAAATCCAAGCAGTAAACACCTAAAGAATTGAACAGCCTTTACTAAGAAGACACATCACTGCTCTCGTCGTCTATGTTTCTACTCTACTCTACATCTAAAGATACAACAAACATTTCAAGATTTTAAAGAAGGATGATCCCTCCATCTAGGTACACCAGAATCAAATGTCCTCTGTAAGATATTAATCCGCTCTTCAACTAGAATATCCTCTACTTCTTCGATTTGAGCACATTCCTTCTTCCTGATCAGCTCCAGATCTTCAAAATGCTTGAGTTTGCTGTGCAACTTCTTCATCTACATAAACATTCATGCCAAAAACAAGAGGAAGGATTAAGATCATATGCAGCAAGCAAGACTTGCAACAAATGGGGAGAAAAGCACATGGCTATCAACTCCCTCACGCAAAAAGGGCCAAAAACACAGAGACAAACGAGGAGAACCAAA